CCGGGCCGCGCCGGCCTCGGGTCCCGCGCTCAGGAAGTTAGTTTGTCCCTCCGGCAGCTGGGTCCCGTGTGCTGTGGGCGCCGCCTCCCCCGCCGCCAGTCCCCGGCCCGCAGCCGCCGCGCCGTGGGCTGCATGACAAGCAGCCGCCTCTATTCTCCACCACGCCGCCGGCCCCACGGCCCCGCCGTCCTCCCCGCCCGCAGCTGTCACAGTCCCGGCATGCAAACTTCTAGCTGGGAACAAAAGGCTCCGCTCCGGCCGGGCGGGGGCGAGTCCTCCTCCCTCGCGCCGCGGCCCGCTCGCTCGCAGCTCGCTGGAAGTGCTGGGCAGGCGGGCGGCTCTCCTCCCCCTTCCCCGCGGCGCCGCCGCCGCCGCCGCGCAGCGCCGCCCCGCCCCGGCAGCTCCCCTGGAAGCCAGCGAGCGCGACGCGGAGAGCCGAGGGGAGGGGGGCGGGGCGGAGCCCGGGCGGGGGCGGGGACGCGGCCGGGGAAAGAAGCGACCCCAGGAGAGGGAAGGGGCGGCAGGGAGGACTGGAGGCCGACAGCCCAAGGAGGAGCTTCTGCGGGTTCGGAGCGAGGAACCCAGGGCGCCGTCCACTCGACTCCCGAAGCCCAAGCCCACCGCACCCGTGGCCAGAGGGAAGCGCCCAGTCCCACGAGGGGGCGCGAGGAGGGGAGGGCACCAACGCCAGCCTCGGACGCGCCGCGCAAATCCCCTGACAAAGGAAAGCCCCGCCCTCCTCCCGCTGGCCCGGCCCCCTCCTGCTCCCGCCTCGTTCCAACCCGTCGGGCTCTGCGCCCAGTCCAAGGGCGGACGAACCCAGCAGGGGCGCTCCCTCCGCCCCCAGCCAGCCGGTTCTGGCAAGGGTCACTCGGGGCACCATCTGCTGATGGGGTCGCGCTGACTGGGGTGGGTCGCCTACATTGCCTTTGGCTCCAGTTCTGCCACCTAGTCCCTCCAATGTCACCTTTAGCGCGCCCCTTGCCAGACCCAAGAACACTCCAAGCCTTAAACCCGGTACTCTGCCAGTGTTCCAAAGTAACTCGGTCCCGCTCAGACACCAAGTCACTGGATAACTCTAGGTACACTCTACCTTCTCCCTCCCCTAATCAAGAACGAGTATATCAGGTCCTGATTCATTCTTCCACCATAATTTCTCTGCCCACAGACCTGGGAGGTGTCAATGACTGAGGAAAATGGGGTGGTGGAGATGCCGGCAACAGCGCCCCTCACCCAAACACCTGGGTTCCTAGTGAAGCTGTGTACGTCCAAAGAAACCTGAACCTCCTTGGGGTCAGATGAAAGGCACAGGTCTGTATTTCAAGTCTCAAACTGAAAATACTAGAGAAAGGTGGCTCACAATCCTGTCCAGTCTTTTAGCTTTTGGAAAAGTCATCTAGTCACCTGATGATTGTGAACAAAGAAAGTACAAAGGGCAGCCCGGGAGACTGTCCACCAGAGGCAGCTGCAACTCAGAAGGGGCCCAATCCTCTGTTCCCTTTGTGATGGCCACTCTCTGACTTTATGAAGGAAAAAAAGGTGGTTTATTAAAATTTATGAATCCCCGTTGGACCATATGGTCAATGTATACGGTAAAAGTTACGGAAAAGTTATTTCTATCCTTTACACAAAGAGTAAGTGAAGCCAATAGTTGGTGTCTAGAGATCTGGCGGTGAAGTCTTGCGCCTTACACTTACTGAAGGAACCAGACAGGTCCTTGGCAAAAATGAGATGTGCGCTGAAGCCTGTGATCAGAATTAAGCAACTGAAAGACCTTTCTATGACAAAACGTTTTACACTTCATTTCTCACTTTCAAAAGAGGTTGCTGATCAATTCTACCCACTCAATTCCAAAAGACTCCCTCCCATCTGTAAAATGAAAGGCGGTGAGGGGAGGCAGACTAGATTGTGTCTTGACAGTTTTTCTAGTTTTAATATTCTTTAGTTCTAAAACTCTTAAATAAGCTAGCCCAGAATCCTGTGTCTTCCTGGTCCTAGACTACAAGACACTGGAAACTATGTCTTATAAGGAACAAATAGTAGAAAGAACTAAGGGTGTTGACTTAGAGAAAGTTCCAACATCAAGTATTTGAAGGGCTGGAACGTGGGAGGAAGGAAATTTGTTCTGGGTGTCTCCTTATGCTAGCACACTAAGATCCAAGAGTAGATTTCAAACCAACAAAGAGCTTCTCACAGCTATGACAGAATAGGGTATCCCCTAAAGCAGTTAATTTTCCTGACCATGGAGGTGTCTGAGCAATCACTTGACAAAGACTTGGAGAAACAGATTTACAAACCCTCTATAGTTTGTCAGATGAGTTTTAAAGTCTCTCCTAACTCTGACATAATGTGATCCTAAGAACTGCTCAGCTAACAAATCTGATACTTAACAGTTCAGGGAATCCAGGTTTTAATTTTCCTTTAATTATTCAGCACAACTGGAAAAACCCAAGGAAGGCAAGATTAATTTCACTAGCAAAACTCCCTGGCCAAACACATTCACTTAAGTGTTCAGATATCATAACAGACTGTTTAGCATGCCAGGGCCCCTCTGGTTGAAAGAATCTAAGGAATTCTGGCTCTGGACTAAGGTGGTTATTCTATTATTAAAAAAAAAAAAATGATCTTGATGTGGAATCACAAACTTCATGACCAGAAATTCCTTTTTGTGTTTCCTCACAAAGTCAAGTACCAATCATCAATTTAGGCTTTTCTTAATTCATCCCTCCATACCTATCTACCTTATTCCTAGGACTCTCATCTTGATCCATATAAATAAATAAACAAACAGAGCATTCCAGCAACTATGAAGTTCAGATTCAGATACTTTACTAGCTTTAGTCACACTCTAATTAGGGTGTTAGGAAAATAGTACAGAGAACCCCCTCCAAAAAGTTTAAACACAGCCTATAGAAAAGATTACATACAATAACCCAGTACTCCCACCCCATTTCCAAAAAACACCCCCAAAACACAAAGCCAAAGAATGCTTTCTGAGTGTTTTGCTCTTTTAGTTTTTTAAAAAATTATCAGTATGTGTTTAGAAAGAACTAAAGAGAGGAAGCACAAGGACTCTTCATGTCTTAATTTTTATCTGTTCATGAGTTTCTCTCTAGTTTTGGTATGTGGAGCTTTACCAATAGCCATTTAGTGACTGAAACAAATACCTAATACAGCTTTAGGCCTCTTTTTGCCCTGATAGCTATAACCTCCCCCCCAAAAAAGAAAAAAATAATCTGTTCATTTCACATGCTGTATGTAAACTTTTAAAAAGAGAAATACAGTGAGCTCCACAAAACCTCTTCGATGTTTCCTTTACCCCTGTAACCACAAATATATGCACTGAAGTCAAATTTCAAATTAGTTTCCAAGTTAGTGATTATAGAGTTCAAATAATTTTCTACTCATTTTGAAATTCCTAAGAACAGAATTTTGTGTCAGATTTTCCTTCCTTGAACTTAAAAGAAAGAAGAATTCTGGCTCTTCCGGTTCCTTCCTGCTGTCTTCCTAATCAAAGACAGCCGGGTGGAGTCTCCTCACACCCTAACACAGCTCCCTTTACAAGGTGTGGATCTGGCCCTTTGTCTTTGTCTGCTCCAGACTGAAACTACTGGCCCTCTGGGACAATCTGGATTCCCAGACTGGGACAACCCCAGATTCCCACTTCTTAGACTTATCATGCCTTTTCATCCACCATGATGGGTGCTCTCTCTCTCGGAGGATTAATTCTGTGTGGAAGAAGACACAGAGGGGACTGGTTGGATCTTGCTCATTTTAAATCTACAAAATGCCTTTCATCTTAGGATCTTTAGACTTTACAAGCATTATTTAGTAGCAACTGGCAACTCCACAGAATTGGTCTGTACCTGTTGAGCATCAGTCATTACCATCCTTTGGTGCTTTTATTATTATAAAAATGGCTGGGCCAGGCACAGTGGCTCAAGCCTATAATCACAGCACTTTGGGAGGTCGAAGCAAGAGGACTGCCTGAGTCCAGGGGTTCAAGACCAGCCTGGGCAACTCGGTGAGACCTCGTCTCCACAATACATCAAAAAATTAGCCGGGCATGGTAGCAAGTGCCTGTAGTTCCAGCTACTTGGAAGC